AATAAAGTCTAATGTTACAACTAATCGGGGATCCCTTTAAGATCATCTTATGTTGAGAAAGGACAGCTTTATAGCCATCATGACCTGGATTGACTCCAAACAATCAGTTGAACCGGGGTTCTCAACCTTTTTGGGTCTGGGGACCMCTTACATGGGTGAAAAACKTCCAGGGGCCCCCTTTTAAACCCATGCTGTTTTAAAAATAGTTTGCTGTTATTTTAACCCCTAAATGCCATGGGATTATTTTCTTTWGTTTGATTTAGTATGTTTTTTTACTAGTGTATTGTTCCCCAYATGCACTTTGTGAAAAAAGAAATGAACAATTTMTTGAAATTTTTTGAGGACCCCCAAGATATGACTCACAGACCTCTGGGGGTTCTGGGACCCCAGTTTGAGAACCTCTGGCCTAGATGTCAATCATTATTTCCTGAATGTTTCATTAAAGCAGGATTATTCAACTAAATTGCTCCGGGGGCCACAATTACTGCCGGTCAACAGCTGAGGAACCGAACATCCAGCAATTAAAGTTATTATGTAAATAAACCAAGTATTACAAAGATCTGTTACCTTTGAATTAGTTTATTTTGCTGTATTTGATCATGAATACAACATACAGAACCCTATAAAAGTAGTGATAATTACACAAAAAGAACACACAATGCCTCCTATTATTAGACACAAATAATATTTTGACATCTCTGATTTGCCAAATTTTTTAACCAATTTTATTTTCACTTTCATCACTTTATCTTCAACTGCTTGTAATTTTAACTTTCTTGAGTGCTTGTAGAAATGGTTTTTACCAGCGTCAAGCCAAGATGCTGACATTTCAGAAACCAAACATGTCTATGTTTAACTAAAATAACTAAGAGCAATTAAAGTAGAAAACCGGGGGTTTGGGCTTAAGAGATGAACAAACCAATTGGCGGGCCGAACTTTGGTCATTCGCGGGCCGGATGTGTCCCGCGGGCCGCCAGTTGAATAGCCCTGCATTAAAGTTTATCCTCCAGTCCAAGAGACGTTTTGACAACAGACAGAAAGGTCTGACTACTTAGAAGACATCTAATTAATTAATTAATTATTAATTAATTTGTTTTGTTTCTGTTTTAAAGGAATAACTTTATTGAGCAAGTCTCCAAACAACAATTATCCACCACAATTTCCTTAAAAATGGGCTTATTGTCTGCCTAACAAAGCCTATTCGGAAATAATATTGTGTCATTTCCTTGTGTTTTGTCCCAAYTTATTCAAAGCCGGCTGGATGCATTCAGATTTTTTATTTTTATTTTTTATTACCTTTACTGTGTTTTTCTTCCCAGTGTGAGTTAGCCAGTTTTAAAGTGTGACACATGAACAAGAGAAAACGTCAAATGGTTTGCTTGTGTTTATATGTGTTCAAATGTGGCACCTGCTTTGTAACGATGATAGTTTCAGTTTTGTTTTTCTATTCCTGCCCGTGTTCAACCAGCATTTCTCTCTTCCTGCCATTTCCCCGCCATCTGTATTTAAACTAAAAGAGTAAAACTTCACACAAAACTCATTTTATTGTTGAAATGTCTTTATTTTAATGCAACAAAAATAATCAGAGAAACAAAATTCTAGTTGTTTGGATGACCTTTAATCTGATCTGTGAAAACCTCAAGATTGGCTTTGTCTTTGTTAAAGATTGAGGTTATTGTTGTATTTCTTTAAATTAACAAAAAATTATGTACCGGTAAGTGCCATGTGCCTTTGCAACTTGAGGCTGACAGATTTTTTTAGCTAACTCGAATAATGATAATCCTGCAGGAAGCTAATGACCATCATTAAAACAAACAGAGCTGGAGCATCAACATACAGACAGAGAGCCCAGACACAAAGAGAGGGAGAATGAGAGAGAGAAGTAGAATTTGAATTGAATGATAAGTGTGTGCGATGGAAGGGAACCAGCAGGTCTGTGCTGTTGGGCTTTGTGRTAGGGGCTCACGTCGGGGTGTGCTGCAGTTTACCCCGGCTCATGTGTCAGRAATGACTGTAACACATGAATCAACAGCTAAATTATGAATAAAACTAGTGTATAAATAGACGTGGGGAAACAGAATTCAGAAATCCTTTACATTATTCAGTAAAACTGGGTGTGAATGACACATTCCAATGCTGTCATAGGAGCTGAAAATAGTCAAATAAAATTCATAAAGTGCAGAAAACTCACAAGCTGCAACGTGCTTGTTGAAAGAAAAAGTTCTCCCTTAAGAAAATACTAATAACACTTTTTTTATTGGTTTAATTGTCTGAACATATTGAACTCCTGACAGTAGTGCGTGCTGTTATATTTGAACATATACTGTACGTACATCTGGTGTTGCCCCCGCCCCCCCGGAGCCAGTTCTGCTTGTTGAAGTTGTTCGCGTTGTTTCATGTATACACAACAAGCCCAAAGGATTACACCATGTGTGCTGCACCTACACTGCAGGCCTACAGTTGGGCATGAATTGGAGCAGAAGAAGAACGAGGCAAGTTTTCTGCCCAGATTCACAAAACAGCTGCCAGCAGCAAAGACGTGGAACAAATGCAGAAAAAAACAGAAACAATTCAAATATATGTCAGTGGTTAAATAGAACAGATAAACAAATATATTTAGTATTTGCAGTTCTTTTGAGCGCACCTTTTTCTTGTTTAAGAAA